TCCAATGAACTTTTCTTTTTTTTTTTCTTTTACTGTGGTATCATATTTTTCAGGTCTAGAATTTCCATTTGCTTCCTTCTTATCATACCTATATGTCTGTTGAGAATTCCTTTTTCCCTTCATTAGGAGTATATTGTGTTAAACTTATCTTTGGGAGAGTATAATACCTACTTTACCATGTTTTCTGATGCTTATAATATTAGGATCATTGTGTTATTGGTTTCAGTTCATTTCCTTTTCTTTTGAGAGGGATTTCCATTCATCTGGTTTTTCATATATCAGGTAATTCTAGACTGAGTCCTGGAAATTATGACTATCACCTTGGGGGAGACAGGAGATCATTTTATTTTTCTCTGTTAAGAGTTGTTTCTTCTCGGGGCACCTGGGTGGCTCAGTTGGTTGAGCGACTGCCTTCGGCTCAGGTCATGATCCTGGAGTCCCGGGATCGAGTCCCACATCGGGCTCCCTGCTAGGCAGGGAGTCTGCTTCTCCCTCTGACCCTCTTCCCTCTCGTGCTCTCTCTCTCATTCTCTCTCTCTCAAAAAATAAATAAAACCTTTAAAAAAAAAAAGAGTTGTTTCTTCTGCTTTATCTTTCAATTATTTTAATTGGCCTTAAATCAAAAACTGTTTTATGGGCCATATCTCTGGTCTCATTTCAGATCCTTTGTTTTTAGTTGAGGGTTTTTTGGGGTGTTTTATGTTTTTTGTCTAGACATGCATGATTGAGGGATCAAACAGTGATATGGTGCACAGAATTTGAGACTTATTTGGCTCTTTTCCTTTCACAATTTTTTCCTCTCTTTGTAAATTAGTGTCTCTCTATATTCAGGTCTCAAATTGCCGGGCCACAAAACTATGGACTTCCCTCTACCACTGCCCCCTCATTTGTGACACTGATGATGGCATGTCCTTAGGGTAAAATCCACAAAAACTGGGAATGTACTTTGTAAAATTCCCCTCCTATGAATATGTACCTCCACCAAAATCTGCTTACTTTTCTTTGTTCGCCAATGTTGTTGTGTGTTTTATGTCCAAGTTTTATAGGAGTTTTCTGCAAAGAATCAGTCAGGTCCCATCTCACTCATGAAGAGTTTAAGTCTGGTCTATTCGTTTTTCCAAGAACATAATACGCCATTGTTTTATGTCTCAGGCTCTTTAAGTGCTGTTTCCTTCGCCTGAAACGTCTCAACCCCTTATTTCATGTTCCTAACTTCAGCTAATCTTCAAATATCGGATTGTTCTCTCTTTCAATGATCAGCAATAGCCCCCATTGCACTTCAAGCATTGTTTTATCACTGATTTGCTTAGCTATCGATTCTTTTAAAACATAGGCATCTTAAAATCTTTGTGTCTATGCTTTAATATTTCTTTATATCATCAAGGCCTATCCAACCAAGTACCTTAGCCATAACAAGTACTTTTATATGTTTGTTAGATGAATGAAAAGATCAAGCTGAGTAAAAATAAACTAGGTCTTTATTCCTCAACATTTCCTGTTGTTGACAGGATACTTTTTTAGTGTGTCTTCCATCTGGACTTAAGGGAATTTTCAAAATTATCACAAGAGAATGGTCATGCAGGCCATAAGAATCTTAAGGTTAAATGGAAACACACTGTTAAGTTAAATTAAGGGGAAAAATATGGGGAAGTTAGTATTTCTGAAAGACAGTCAAAACTTGAAAAATTATACTAAATGTCACAACAAACACTTCAGCTGTCAGGAGAAGTACCTCTAAGATCACTTCAAGAGCTATGCACTGTCCAGTGGCTCTATTATTCACCTTAGAAGAACAAGTCAATGAATAAATCACAGTGCAGAAATAGGGTTTTAAAACACTTTGTGATAAAAAATTATTTCACATGTATTCTGCGAAACATTACTCAAAATCTCTGACTCACTGCCAGTTCTACTCTCAGCCTTGAGCATTAATATAGTTCTTTGTAGACTCATCTAATTATAAATGTAGTCTAAGGATTACTATTGCCTCTAAAAATATAATATTTTTAGATGACACCTCACTTCTAACACTTTCACTAAGAAATTTGTTTGAGTTTTTTAAATGACGAGTATTAGATAATAATGCTAATTTGAAATATATTTCAAGAAACCATTCTGTGCCATATTAAAATATAATGAGAAAGAGGAATGATTGATAGATTCTGATACAATAATATAGTTTGTGCTAGATACTATTGGAGATACAGACACTTTTAAAATATGGTCTTATACTCAGGGAAATTATAGTTGGTTTGGATAATGGAGTATATATAGTATATAAATATTATCCAGTTATGGTAATAATAGTGATTACATTGACAGAAATATTGGAAGGTTAAAGAATTTCATAAGATGATGGACATTATCTGTAACCTATCCATAAAAAATTTTAGCATTATAAATCATTTTTTATATCAATGCTTTTAGATAAGTTATCTTTGGAGATTATACTTACTTATTTTTTAATTTATTTCAACTAGTTTTTTAACTTTTGTATCTACAGTGAGTAGAAAAATGTTAATTATATAACTTTTATATTAGAATTTTGTTTGTAATATTAGTTCTGCTTTTGTAATTTATCTGAAAAAATCAGGAAAGTATTAACTCTATAGCTTTTATATTATGGGATTTTTGGGCAATATTAATTATGCATTTGCAAATTATCTGAAAATATTAATAATCACAATATATTATTTGAAATACAGTAGTAATTAAGTTTCAACAACACAATTATATTTCCATTGATAATTATAACATGTAAGAGGCAAAAATGACTTTAAACATATATGTAAATTAGATACCCATTAAAATAAATAATCTAGTCACAAGATATATCCTTTCCTAGGTTCCATAATGGATAAGAATTTTACCTTGTCTGCTCGGAGGTCTGATATCTACAGTTACGGTTAGTAATCACACCTGATCCAGTTTCTTGCCATAACCATACAAGGCTGCTTCAAGGATCTAAAGTAGTGTAACCCTAGAGGCTATGTTGAAGAGAAGATGTCATAATATGGGTGTTTGTCTTAAGAAAAAAATAATAGCTAGAACATTTTTTTTTCAAAGAATTTAGGCATGAGTACATGCCACAGTTTTATTTTACCTTGCTCTAAGGTAAAAGCAGGTAAATTCAGAGACTTAACTCTCATTCAAGTGGTTTTATAAGCACACTCATGCCAATTACTACAATAACTTGTTACTACAATTATGCTTTTTACCAAAATAAATAATTTGAACTTTATGTTTCAGTGTTTGTAGCAACTATGTGAGTGACAAAATTAAAGCTGGGAGCCCACAGTAAACATAGACTTTTTGGTGGTCCTCTGAAGTTCTGTTTTAAAATAGCAACCTTAAGGTGTATCAGATAATCAGCAAGAGGTTGCTTTGTAGAGAAGCTATTCTGGGAAAACAAATCTGAGGATTTGAGAGGTCTGAAAACATTGTAGAAAGATGGGGTGTAACAATGTTCAAATCCCTGAGTGCAAGTTTCCCTGAGAGACAACTTCACTTCTGGTGGTCCTGAGGTTCCCTGACAGTCACCCCATCTCCAATTCCTTTTTGTTTTATCAACGTGTGCTTGATTTAACTTTCTGCTGTTTGATAAAGAATTATCCTGACTCGCAGAAAAGAAAGTCACATGAAAATTATACAAATTGAACAAGGTTTAACATAGCAAGTGTGGGACACCAAAGCAGAAAGCTGAAAGCAGTGAAAATGAATGGGAAGGTGAAATCATGGCATTTGCAACAGGGTTTCAGTGACACTCTTGAGAATCAAGAAGAAGAAATAAAGTTTCTATTTTCACTGGGAAGGAAAGGAACCATCCTCTCCCCCACCCCTTATTTACTCTCCTCAATACTGTAAGGTTAGTTGTGATCACAAACAAACTCAACAAAATTTAAATACACTTTAGATATCAGAAACTGTGACAAACATTGAAATAACTAATGTCCACTAAATGGTTAGATTTGGTGTTCATAGCAGCTGAAAACACCTGTTTAGAAGCAGTTTACAAAAGACTGAAATAGAGGCGCCTCGGTGGCTCAGTCACTTAAGCGTCTGCCTTCGACTCATGTCATGATCCCAGGGTCCTGGGATTAAGTCCCATAATGGCTCCCTGCTCAGTGGGGAGTGGAGTCTGCTCCTCCCTCTGACCCTCCCCCCTGCTTGTGTGTGCGTGCTTGCTCTCTCTTGCAGATAAATAAAATCTTTTAAAGAAAAGACTGAAACATCATTGTGCACAATACAGGCAATAGTACAAATGTACAAATGGGTCAAACGAATGACAGTGAAATTTTTTTTTTTACTTAAATGATGCTTTAGGCTGAGAAATATCAAGTATGTTACAGTCTCCTGTTTCTGAGTTTCTTTGAGACAACTGCATTGTCAATTCTCAAAATCATTCTAGAAATGAAATAAATCAAGAGGAGCTACAGTGAAGAGAAGGCAGCCATATTGAAGATTGCTTAAATAGGAATATTTATAAAAGAATATCAGAATTTAAAAATAAAATATTCATATTAAACTCTTAAACATTTTTATTTTATTTTTTTAAAGATTTTATTTATTTATTTATTTATTTGAGAGCGAGAATGAGAGAGTGAGAGAGAAAGAGCACATGAGAGGGGGAAGGGTCAGAGGGAGAAGCAGACTCCCTGCTGAGCAGGAAGCCCAACGCCGGACTTGATCCCGTGATTCCAGGATCATGACTCCAGCAGAAGGCAGTCGCCCAACCAACTGAGCCACCCAGGCGCCCCTTAAACATTTTTAAAAGTTTATTTATAACTATAGAAAATTTAAGCCTATTGTGACCTTTAAAAATATGTCTCTAAAATACAATTATCTCTGAAAAAAAAATCAGTCTCTGTTGAGGAGGTTCAATTTAAAAACAAAACCAAAAATTGTTTGGTATGTTGACAGGTGATCTAGTAGAAATTGCTTTCATGCCAACTTAATGCTTACTGTTTTAATTAAGTTAGTTTCTTAAATGTTATACTTACACACTCTTTCCTTTTAAAAACGTCCTTAAATTTGGGTTCATGGAGAGGTCACTGGTAAGGATTATAAACTTTGAGTGCCTCAGTGATGGATTTTTCTTCAGTTTTCATCACCAGGGGAGTTCTATATCGAAAAAGAAAGGAGCAGTAATTAAGAGCACAGAATTCTTTAGGGTTTCTACTATGCCTAACTCAAGCTTGGTGGGGATTAATGCAGATTCTTCCTGAAATTACTAGACTCCTAATGCGTCCAATTACTTAGTGCTAAAATATGGCGGAATAATCTTTATGCAATTTTTCTAGCAAAATGTATTGCATCCTATTAGTATGTCCAGATAGAAAAAGCAATTTTGAACATTGGTTAATTGCATATTCTGTGAAAAGTTCTGGCTAGTTTCATGACAACTGTAAGCATACAAATTTGTGAACATAAAATGATGTGATGTAGTTTAAAAGTTCATGATAATATTGCTTCTACATTATATTAAAAGATTAGGAAATAATAATAAGCAAACATTCATTTGATATTCAAAGGAACTCAATATAGGGAAAATAAAAACTATACATTTTAGATAATACTTTAAAAACTCTTTATACATGTTCATAGGAAAACAGTATCTTGAAAACATGGTGATTATATTTCTAAGAAAAAACTAAACAAACAGGTAATTCCTTAGAATATAATTTGTATAGGACATTTGAATAAAAAAGTCATATGTATTAACTTTCACTTAAAAATCAATACTTATTTTATTTATAAACTTTAAGGCAGGACAAATTTATGTATTGTGATTACAACTTTATAATAATTTTATGAAAATGCATATAAAAATTAAACATTCCTTCAAATTTCCTTGCTGCCTCAGTGTGCATAGTTACAATTGTGTTACAATTTTTTTGGCAAGTTTTCAATTGGCTCAATCATGACAGTCAAGCATAAAAATAAAAGTTCATTAAAAAGTGGCATTAATATGGTTTTATAATGTAGGTCCTTAAAATATCAGATTTTTAGCTTCAATATTAAATATAGATTTAAAAATCCACATGGGTTAAATAGATATTATTATATTAATAAATACATATTTTAATTTTACTTAAAAATCTGTCCTCTCATAGAATGTAAGCAGCAGGGTTGTGGGGGTGGGGCAGGTGGTGCACGCACACTTGCGTGTTTTAATTGCTATATCCACAGCTCCTAGAATAGTGCTTGGCACATACTGAGTACACTGTAAATATTTTTGATACAGAAAAAAATTTTAACTCTGTTATTTTAAAGGACTAAATCTTTTCAATCTGTTTAAGCCAAGTTGGACAGTCAAGTATAACTAAATATTCATCAACCCATATGAAAAAGTGTGTACTCATAATAGCAATAATGTATAACTATCAAAATATATCATCACCATTCACAAATAACTTTTGTTTAAAAGACCTGATTATTTTTTATCTGTCATTAATTGGCTTTCCCAAATTTTTATTTATATCAAAAAGAAAACAATAAACCTATATACAAATTTATCTCTATGTTCCCTTTAGCAGTTCCCTAGTAGGAAACATCACGAGGTTCTGCAGGTACATTGCAATATTTGATTTTGCTTCTTCCCTCCAAAAAAAAAAAAATACTTTTTTTAAGTTAGTATGAGTCAATGTCATCTAATTTTCTGTTTTCAATTTTATATCTTTTTCATAATTTATACAAGTTATGTTCAGTTTTACATGACTACAACAGAGTATGACAAACTGATAGGCTTACAGTTCTTTTACTGATCAGGAAACTGAAGCATCAAGCTACTTAAGTACATTATAAAAGGAAAATAGCATCCAGTTGTTAGAAAGGAACTTAGAATCTACAGTTTTCAGAAAGTATGATTTTAAAAAGATGGATATTCAACATAATGAATTTCAGAAAATGTTAAAACAATGTTATAGTTTAATAGAGCTTTCAGAAACCTTTTATTTCTACCTATATCATTAGTTGGTAATCTCTTTTAAAAATAAGTAATCTTTAACAAATGACCATATTTTTAGTCATTTCCTAATTTGCTACTAAAGAAGAAATATAATCTCTGTTTAAGGACTTCTCCCCCCCCCACAATAAAAGGGGAGTTTAATACTTGTTTTCATTTCTAAAATAAAGTAGACAAAGATTTATGCAGAATTATAATATTAGATCCATCAGCATACAATTGTAAACAGTTTAACACCATACAACACTCCTTATAGCATTATTTTGACATATTTTTAAATTACATTAATAATGGAAATCAATCATAACATGTTGAATAATTCTATAATGTGTTGCAGAGATACAAATAACAAGTGTCCACTTTATTAAATATAGTTTTGGTGAGGATTACATGAATACTCTGTGACAACTGATACATCATAAATCCCAGTAAACATGGGAGTTGTCAGTACTTGCTATATCTATATTTTCTCTTACCATCGTTGCCAGAATTACTTACACCAGACTTTCATCCTAATCAGTACACATCAACTGCTCTTCTCATACTACCAGTGTTTTCCCAGATGCTAAAACCGTGCTCATTTTTCATCTCTTAACCTCATGGAACCATCAGCAAGTAACCTAGTTACCTTAATTAGGCCATCAGCAAGATTCAGCAATGCTCAATCATATTTTCTGCTCTATAACATTTGGACCTAAGAATACTACATTTCCAGCTTTCCTCTGTGGTAAGCAAAATAATGGCCTCCCAAGGACACCCAAGTCTTGATCCCCAGAATCTATAAATATGTTATGTTATGTAACATATTTGCCATGTGGCAAAGTAGAATTATGTTTGCTAATAAGTGAACCTTAAAATAGAGAGATTTTCCTACATTGCCCAGATAGGCCCAATGTAAGCACAAGGGTCATTTTAATATGGAAGAGTTAGACAGAAGAGTCAGAGTCAGTGATAATATATGGTCAAAACTTAACTGGCTATTGCAATAGTCCCCACTTATAAGTGGGAGACATATGCTAGGACCCCCAGTGGATGCAGGTACAGACAGTTCCAAATCCTATATATGCTATGCTTTTTCCTATATTTACATACCCATAATACAATATACTTTAAACATTAGGCAGAGTAAGATATTAGCAACGATTAAGCAATAATAAAATACAACAATATACTGTAGTAAAATATATGGGAATGTAGTTTCTCTCTTTCTCTGTCTCAAAATATCTTACTGCACTGTACTCACTCCTCTTCTCTTGATGATGTGAGATGATAAATGCGTAGGTGATGAGACGAAGCAGGTGAATGATGCAGGCACTGTGACATAGCATTAAGTTACTACTGTTGACCTTAGGATGCGTGATGTGTCAGGAGGATCATCCCCTTCCAGACTGCAGTTGACTGTGGGTAACTGAAACCACGAAAAGCAAAACTGCAGATAGGGGGGTAAGGGGCAATGAACTAGCTTTAAAAATAGAAGAAAACTATGAGCCAAGTAATTCAACCTCTAAAAACTGTAAGAGACAAGGAAACAAAATCTGCCCTCAAACTGCCAGAAAAGAATGCAGTCCTGCAGACAAACTGATTTTAGTCCGTAAGACCCACCTTCGACATCTGACCTCAAGAACCAAGAGATAATAACATGATATTGTTTTAGCCACTAAATTGTGGCCATTTGTTACAGCAACAGCAATAGAAAACAAATATAGCCTCCTCGTTAATAACTACTCTCTCAATCTCCTTTGCTGATTCCTTGTCTCTTCTCTGTGCCAGATGAGAATCTTTGGGTCATAAATTTTCCTTACCCAAATCTGCTTCCTATGTGTTTTTGTCCAGACCTATGGCTTTGAATACCCTCAGCACTTTGAAGATTACTGTCATGGATTAAATTGTTCCCCACCCCCAAATATGTTGAAGTCCTAACCCCCAGTACCAGCGAATGTGTGAATGTTACCTTATTTAGAAACAAGATCTTGGCAGACGCGATCAACGTAAGATGGACTGTTAGGGTAGACCCAACACCTTATCCTTATAAGGAGAAGAAAATACCATGTGAAAACAGAGACCCAGAGGAAGAATTCATGTGATGACAGAGACAGAACACCACGGACTGATGGCCACCACCAGAAGCTGCAAGAGGCAAGGAAGGATTCTAACCAGAGTCTGAGAAGCAGCCTGGCTCTGATGACACCTTGATTTTGGAAATCCTCCAAAACTGTGAGACAATTTTTTTAAGCCACTCAACTTGTAGTACTTTGTTATGGGCAGCCCTAGGAAACAAAGACAACTATCAAATTTGTAATTCTAATACTAACTCATTCTCTGAAAAATCAACTCTTCTAAGTGTTTACTAAATATTTTAGTTAGGAATTGTACTAGATTATTTATTTTTCCAACTTAGCATCACCAATATCTCCTTTATGTTCCTCTCTGCATGATGAGGAACAGATAAGAACTACATTTTTTGGCATCTATTTCCCTCTATGATTCTGGGGTAGGATTACCACTGAGAACTCATAGAATATTTGTATGGTAGAAGAAAAGGAGCATAATTATGGGCGTGGCATCCAAATTTATGGACAGACATGAGAATTACAGCCAGAGAAGTGATCACCTGAGATTCATCTGCTTTATTGCTACAGACTGAGATAATAGGAGCTTTATCAGTAAGTCATGAAAATTTCCCAGTGATCCTTGAAAATTACGGGCTACGTGCTTTAGTGTTTGTTTGCCTGACCTTTTAGCGATAACTTCCCAAATCTTCAGTAGTGATTTCCTTAAATATTGTAACCCTAACTCTCATCTCATCCAACGTTATAAATTTTAACTTCAGTATCAAATTTCTGTTTTCCTCAATGAGCCCAAAACCATTCAGGAGCAAAATAAACATCTCAACTTTCACATGTCCATAACTAACTCCTGCCCTTCACTGCCCCATCCCCTGACTCCAAAACCTACTCCTTCTAAGCTGTTTCCCAATTCAGTCAATGGAAACGTTATCTGTCCAGGCAATCAGGCCGCAAATCCTGAAACTGTCCTTGATTACTGTCTTTCCCACACACTCCATTCCCAATTCATTATGAAATCCTACTGAAAAATACAACAGAATCTTACCACTTTCACCACCTTTTTACTGCCACCACTTTGAACTATTAA